TTCCCTTTATAACTCACTTATCCTCCACCATTCCCAAGACAAGGGTCGTATATACTGACCCAATAGCATATCTTGAAAACTAGAGCCAATCAACAATTTTAAGCAACATTTTTGTTCTCAGTGACCTAGAATTAGTAAAGTTTGACTACATTTATTTCAGAAGCATTTCGGCTGTAGAGCAGTGATATCAGAACATTAAAAATGATTTAGAAATTGACTTTATTACATATATACACACTGAAACATCACCTTCACAGGGGAATACCAAAATTGACATTGAGAGAGAGACTGAAAGTCAGAATGGCAAAAGGTCCTGCCCATACTATTTCCCTCTCCTCCTCACTGTTCTTAGATCTACAATATGTGGCAAATACATCACATCTGAGTGGAGCTGGAGCTGTGTAAGGCTGAACGTATCCATGGTTGCTTCTGGCTTTGTGAGCACCCAAACTCGTCTCTGACAGATCACTAGACCAATCACATCTAACAGTACAGTCTAACAGGGAAAATACAATCTTTGCTAAATAATAAGGCTATGTATGCTTTGAACTGCCACATAATGAGAGCAAGCTCTGAAATTAATGACGTATTTAGCAGTTCTCTAAGGCTAAAGCTTCTATGGCTTCAGTAAATGGATTCAGTTAAGGCTATTCTAATTAGAAATGACACTGCAAACATTTTAGCAGGACACTTTTTTTTGTTTTTTACTGAATAGCTATTTGAATCCTGCAGCCACATGGCTTCTAACACGTACACGCCTCTAGCAGAAGTTGCCCTTCACCTCATCTTACTTCATTATCCAGCCTCTCAAAGAAGCACTTTCCAATAACTATGAAAAAAGCACACACAACATCTACTGTATGTTATTGTTGGCATCTTGAATTGGCTTGTCTTCTACAATTAAACAAAAGTTCTAAAAGGTTCCTGGTTCAGTGTTCTTTCAGTACTGGGAAAGAGTAAAACATGCTCAAAAGAAAGAGGGCAGAAATGCTCATCTAGACTGCAACATGAAATACACTGATTGGAAAGGAAGTGCAGAACTGAACAGATTTAAAAAAAAAGAAGAAAAAACAATAAAACAAAATGAAAAGATAATGCTATAGGAGTACAAAGATTACAAAATACAAACAACTTCATTTGTATTTAAAACGGCAAATCAGATGTGTAGTTGGTTATGTGCATTTGATAATTTTTATTTCATGGAATTTTTCACTCTGTCACATTCTTGTTTTATGTGTAATTTCAACAACAAAAAGGAAAAAGAGAAATATTACTTTTTGCCATGCTTTCTATGCTTTTTTGCTGTACAAAATTCTCTTTACTGAAAAAATTGTTTAGCTTAGCAAAATTGTCCACAAAAAGGCCCATTTTTCACTTCACAGTAAATTCTAGAGACCCTTTTAATTCTCCCCACTTTTTTTAAAAGTAATTAAGTGTAGCCTTAGTTCCAGGCCTATATAAAAACCTGTTTCTAAGGCAAAAAAGGGACAAGCTGATTAAATAGCATATGGTGTATTGTGTTAATTTAGCTCAATAAGTCAAAGGTGCTAACGTGACCATGTCATTGTCCAACATTAAAAAATGTTAGTGTTTGGGATTTGGTATACAGAGATCTTAGCCTCCTTAGTAACATGCCAGACACTATTAAAAATCCTTTTATTCAAAATATGAGCCGGGGTGGGGAGTTAAAGCAGTTTGAAGTGTAAAATATTAAATAAGGCTTTCGTTTTAACAACATCCCTTGTTCCCTTTCACTTTAGCTGTAGAGAACCTTTAGAAGTGGGGAGGGGAAACCTTGTTTGACAGTCTTCTAGATGGTGTTAAAGATAACTGTCCATTTGGGGAAAAGATTCAAAGTTAATTGAAATGTGCTGGGAGCAATAACTGCTGCTCTTAAAAGTCCTATCCGTCTTCTAGAAGATGAAACAAGGCAAACACACACAAGGGGAGAGAGGAAAGATGAGAAAAGCTAGAAAATGCAGCTTTTGTCTCTGATGTTGACTTTAACTTGCAACCTCACTGCTGGAAAAACACAGGCACAACACACTGTCTTATTAGCTATTCCAAGACCTGGCAAACTTGTACAAGCAGCATCAGACTATTTAGGGCATTGTGTTTAGGTACCTCTTTCTGGTGATAGTCTCTCAGTAATGTTGCTGTAAAATATACAGTCTTGGCTAGCTGAGCCAAACTTTAAAAAGAGAGGGATGGGAAAGAGAAGAAATAAGGTGGGGAAAGAAAAGGGTACATTGGGGTGGAGGGGGTGGTGACAGTCTCACATGCCAGGTGGTGTTTGGGATCTAGTTAGAGCAGTGGAAGAAGTGATGTCACCTGGGTCCCTCTCATAGGGATGTCTAGTCAGGACATCTCTCAGGATCAGAGCGATGGAGGCACAATAGTGTCATGCTGGATGCTGGGGTCCCAGGAGATGGTGGGAGTGGTAGCCATGATGGAAGTGTGCTCCTTCCCCTTCGTTCAGTCAGAAATTGTTGCATTCACTTTCCCTTCCATAACCACGCCCTGTCCCAAAGTCCTTCTTTTCTTTTTCTTTAAGAACTCCAAAAGGGGAGTGGTAGCTGGAATAGCCCATCCTCTGACTATTTTGTTTACTAATTAGGATTAATTTCTGACACACCCATTTTGGTCCATTGATTTCCATCCCACACTTCTTTTGTTTACCAGACATCTTAATACAGTCCTTGAGTAATAGCAATAGGCCAGTTTGTTTGGATTAATGCAGTCTTTCTGTCTCCCTTTTGCAACTTTTCCCATCAACATCTGTTGTAACACATTATGGTGACATTTTATGAACTTTCACTCACTTTTTTAGCTGTTGAGCTCAACTGCACAATTACTGTAAATTTGTAGGCCCAATTATTACAACAGTTGACACTTATGAACGAGAAAATATCAAGAGTTCTGAAAGCTATAATTCTTTTAAAATGTCATGTTTTAGAACCTGATTATAGAAAAAGTTGCATAAAAAGGAAAAAAAATTGTACTCAAGAAATGTTCAATGCTGTCAGTGTAATTTAATTTGACTGTTGGTGTGTGCTTTGAAATTTTCTGTGATAATTGTGCCTAGAAACATGTTATGGGTGCATGGTATCAATCAAATAATAAATGTTTAAATCTAGATATTTAAGCAGGGGTTAAATCACTTAAGTTACAATA